TTGTTTGTTCTTTTTGTGCGAGTGTAACCATTTTTAATCATGTAATGCAAATCTGATGTAGATAAAAAAAATGTTGGAGTATGAATTTTAAGTATCATGCTTCATTTAGCAGTTAGTGTGCAAAAGAATAACTTATATAGTAAAAACAATTCCATATATTTGTCCTAACTTTGATGCTGTGTACAGCAATGTCAATGACACCTATGAATAATCCATTTAGTGACATGGAGAAGTGGATATTTAATTAAACTTGGAGAAATTAAACATAGACTCGTTTATTTTTTTTTCTGCTTGAACTGTTTGTAAATAAAATGGATTCCATTCAGGCCTGAACAAACTCGACAGTACTTCGTGGAAAATGGAACGAACGCCTGCAATGGCATTAAGTAGGATTTTATTATGAAGAAAATAACACAATTCTTCACGTAGTTGGGTAATAATAATAATGACATTATTTAGTACCAGACTTTATAATGTTACTAAATATGAAGTATCTATGATTCGTATACTACTAGTTCACAAGATAATATGGTCCGTTTAATAATATAAGAAGGTTAATGATGGCTATTGCTTAAGAATACACACAATTACACTTTATTTTAAGTAAACTTTTGGATTCAGTAAGTGCTAAGAATCCTTTTTATTCCACGAGAAGATGGGAATTGCAAAACTGAAACACCTGGGTCGAATGAACAAATACTTAATTGCAACAATATCACTTAGATCAATCGAGCTAATAACTCCAGATGTTCCTTCCTATATTAAAATTATTCTCTCGACTCTGTACGTAATTATTATATTTTCTTTATGTTGCTCTATGCATTCAAGGTGTCGACGCAGAATAAATGAAACACAGCTACGTAGATTTGTAACAATGAGCAATGACAAATTGCTTTAACTTCAAAAACCAAGAATGTATCTTCTTACTATACACGAAGATAGATAAATAAATAGAAAAGCGTGAAAGATATATATATATATATATATATATATATATATATATATATATATATAAGTTGGTAGGATGTCAGATCTATAGATAAGAAGGAGGATAGATAAATAGGTGGGTATAAAAAAGATGGAACAATACAGGCGAGAATGCACTACTATTTGTATGACTATTTATTGTTTGGATATTCTAAGTATATTTAATCTCAGAGTAAAATGAGTTAGAGAATATTTACATCAAAATGTATTCTCTTATTTTCCTTAAAAATATTTATAATATATACAAAATATAATTTAAAAGCCTTTCTTTATACTACTGGATTAAATATACCTTTGTACACAATGCAGTTTAAATGTCAGTATATTGCTTTTGGAGTTGAAACTGTCCCACATTATTCCAGCATTACAAGAATCATACATGTTCATACATGCACTGACTCAATTAACGACCTTATAAATCACTGCTGTGACAGATTCGGATGAGAAGGTCCACTGAGATTATGATTGGTCCAAGCGGGAATTGGGGGTGGAGACACAAAGTATGGGTTGCTAAGCGACGATATGACTAGTGGTTGATATGGATCATCCTTGCGAGAGAGATGGAGGTAGTGAGCACTTGGATGGAATGGCTGTTCGGCATGTCGGAGAGATGAGAGTAATAAAGGGGAATCGGCTATGAACGGAAATGGGAACACATTATTTAAAGCCAAATTCCCATTAGGATTCGTAAAGTGCGAAATATTTCGATTCGAGTCAGACAAGTAATGGAAAGATCTACTCAGAGAGTAATTATGTGAATATGATGGGCCAGCAGGAATAACATCTTTACATTTTGCCTCTAAACACAACTTATACGAAGGTAAATTCGAGAGCACTGGAGTGTCAGGGTGTGTAACGTTTGGTCGATACAAACTAGGTTGACCGCCTGGAAGGAGGGATGGTGTCGCCTGCGTGTGTAATGAATATAGAAGGCCAGATTGTCTATTATTTCCAGACGGAAGTATCCCCACACTAGACTCGGGAGGATTCATAACAGATCCATTTCCAATCTTTGGGGTCTCAAATGCAGAACTTTCCTTTGAGTGAGTGAAGAGATTTAAACTCCCGTTCTTCTCAAAAGCACTAGGAGTGATTTGGTTTGGAGGAGAAACCATATCGTAACCATTAGCCGACATACTCGCTAATCCAACTCGTAATACATTAGCTTTTACTTTGTCAGATTTATGCTTTTTCTTGGTCTTCACTTTCAGTGGATTTTTCTCATATCGCGTCAGCTCCGCTATGATACTTTTCATGACAACAGAAGAAACCAAATCACCTCCCGGTGAGTCTTTATGGTTTTCAGATGGTTCCCCACAAACACTGGACGAATCTCCTCCACAACTATCATTGTCATCGTCCGTTTTATCTGATTTCTTGTCGTCTTCTTGATCGGATTTGGACTTGGTGGCTCCAACAACATCTTTCCTCCTTCTGTTTTGGAACCAGACCTGTTAGACACAAAACCATGTGAAACATACTATAGTGGGTGGTTTAACGGTGATAGTTTAGATGATAGGTTTGCTTTAAAAAAAAAATGGTAACATAAAGATAGAAGCATAGTGACCTCCACAATACATAGCTGAATGTAAATAGTTTAGCGTATTTACTCCCGTGAAGTAGCTCCATTTTAAGCATCTATTTTGCAGTATACTCTAAATTACAACGTCATTAGCATAATGTTTGGGGTTTGTTTTTGTTTTTTTAAATCAATTTAGCAACTGAAAAGCATGAAAATTTGTTAGTGGTCACAGCACTACAGGTATATAATAAGCGCTTGTCAATTAGCAAATCGTTAGCATTTTGTCTCGTGATACTTTTGAATTTGATTATTTCCTGAAAATTTCATAATTAGGTTCGAGTGGTAGAGTCTGTTAAGTCCAACGCAATGCTGTAAAAAGAAATAAAGACCTCATAAAGCAGCCATGTCTAACAAGAAAAGAGATTTGTTTCTAATGAGTTATTTGTGATTATTATTCTGCGCTCATCTCTTCACAAGGACGAAATAATAGGTCACAGTAAATTCATTGGGGGGATTTCAGGCTGGCTAAAACTGTTGTAGCTGCTACAGAAGATAGACGTTTCCTTCCGTTACGACATCATTTTAACAATCATGTCCTTCAGGGATTAGTTTACATTATTCGTCTATATAAGACCAAAACTTAATTTTATATAATCCTTTCCATACATATAATTTTAAAAAAATGTCAGTTTTTAAGGCTGTGTTAATTTGTTTAACAAAGCAAAGATGATCTTAGTTCGTTTCTGAAACCTTGAACAGTATTAATAAGCACAAAAACAAGACAAGCAATAAATATGCTTAATTCGTTTCGAAGAACAAAAAATAAACGTTAACCAATTCGACATATTCTTAAGCTCAGATAACGAATGTCAATATAAAAAAGTAAATGAGTTTGAATCGCCTTGCAATTTTTATTAAACATCCCAGATTCATGGTACTCAAATTGAAGTTCACCTATTTATTATTTCACAGAAGAGAAGACAACTTAAACATAGACTATTCAGAAATTGTGAAAGTGCAAGCATTCTATAAGGCATTGTTGCAAACAGCTGTTGAACTTTTGGTAACGTTCAGACACATAATAATGTTCGTACAAACTATAATTAAATGGAACCGTCAAAGAATTAATATTGTTTCTCAGACAGTAGAGGTCATCAAAGATTTATCCTCAATCCAAGCATTTGTGTCATCTTAGTACCTCAACATTAGTCCAATAAATCAATCTCCCAAATCTGTTTTGATACTGATGGACGATATGTGGATGTCACCTGTTCATTAAGCATTTTTGCTGCATACAGATCATTAGGAAACAATCCTGTGTACACTTTATATATATATATATATATATATATATATATATATATATATATATATATATATATATATATATATATATATATATATATATATATATAATCTTGGCCCATTTTTGGCACCAAAACAAATTAAAGCAGTTTATTTAAAAGAAATAGACAAAAGGACTCGTAATATTGACCCAGTCTCTGATCCGATGATAAATTGTAGCCGGTGATCGACAGTGGAACGATACCAAATCAGATGAGCCTTACTCCTTTCTTGGAACAACACGAAAGGTAATACAAACCATTTCCTTGGACAGTACATAAACCAGAATCTCTACTAGTACTAACTTTGACTTGCTCCCTGGTAATACCAACTCGCTTGGCTATCAGCTGTTTCTGGATGCTGTTAGGGTAGCGCACTTGACTGTAAATACCATTCAGTAGCTGTAATTGGTACCTTGTGTAACTAAGCCTTTCCCGCGGAGGAGGAGGTGTGAAGGGGCGACAAGCTGTAATAATAATAATAATAATAATAATAATAATAATAATAATAATAATAATAATAATAATAATAATAATAATAATGTTGATGATGTTACTTTCTTTAATGTGACTAGAACATCAGCTGCCATAAAAATAATCTCGCAATTATCCAGTGCAGCATGTCACACATAAATGTGAAGAAGAAATTTACTTTTTTATATACCGGTAACAAAGAAAAAGAAATCAAACTAAAACAAAACAAAGCACGTAAGAGTTGCACAACAGTAAGGAAGAGATGGTGATAACCGTCACATTTATAATTTGTCATATATAAAAATATATGTGCATCATTATGTGATTGTGACAGCAATAAAAGGGGAGAATAAATAATAATATAAAAAACATATCAAAACAATCCGTCAAAACGCGTGTCAAGTTATGCAAACGAGATATCTGCAAAAGCCTATTATTGCTTTGAGAGAGAGAGAGAGAGATAATTTGGATTTTTAACGTAACTTTATCAAGTTTTCAGCCATAGCAGTTTTTAATGATGTCTAAAAACGAAGACATCAGGCTGCAGACATGTAGCTTGATGTCCCACCCAGTCACATTGTCCTGAGAGAAGGCCGACCAGTTCTAACAAAAACCTCTTAATGCTGAGCGCCGAGCGTGGCAGCTGTTAGTGCCAAGTTTAAAATTCTTTCGTATGACAGCCGCTCTCGAACCCGCGACCTTCCGCATTCGAGGCGGACGCTCTAACCACTTAGGCCACGGGAGCGATCTATTGCTTTAAGTGTAAAACAAAAGAAAATATGACAGACTCTCGCAAGCATTACAAAAGCCCCTTTGGAGAAAACGCGCATCTCCATGTGATAATCAGACCCGGCGCTAGGGCAAGGCGAACGAGGCAACCGTCTTGGGTCACGCGCTTCTCCGCAATGCAATTTTTTTTTTTTTTTTTTTTTTTTTTTTTTGTTGCTTCTAGCCTCGCGCTCATCGCTTTCTGCCTTGGACCCCGCATACTGCCTTTAGCTCAACATTCTGTCTTGGACCCCGCATATAATAGGGCCGGGCCTGGCCTGGTGATAATAAAAACACGTTTGCCAAATATCCAAATAATTCATCAAACACTGAATTGCTATGTCCGCATTTGTACAAGGCAGGTCATAAATGCCCTCATAATCCTCGAATGTCAAAGTCGGGACCATGTATATCCTATTTATATCATTACAAACGATGCTTATTTTACAGAAAGGTGTGACACGATTCATTTAAAAAAAAATTATTAATTTTTGTTTCTCGAAACTGACACTAGTACATGCCTGACATTCCGCACATATTGGCAATTCACCGGCTATGAAATATTCAAATCAAGCATTTTGATTTTGTCTAAATTATAATAAAGTTAGACTTAATAAAAAAATGTTTAAGCATCCGTAACAAGTTTAAATAAACTAGTTGAAATATACCTTCATTTTTACCGACTGGCGTAAATCGCGAGAACGTAGACATAATTTGAAAAGCAAATCTTCACCTCTGCATTGTCCATAAATTCGAATAGGACTGGACAAATTAAAATGATATACACAATAAATTAATTGTCAGCTTTCATTTCTTTACAAATTCCCGTATGCAAATACTACCCCACCCAACCCCCACTCAAAAATGACAAAACAAATTCTTGGCAAGAAAACAAATTAACAAATCTATGAAATGCTTTCCCATTAAATAAAAAGTGATCTGGCTATTTAAAATTTGAAAACAGTGTGATATACACCATAAATTCATTATTAAACATGCATTTTGCTTACATCTTACTTGCAAGTGTTACTATTTTACATTGTAACTTATAACATATTACGGTTTTAATTGTTATTTATTTTTGTGGGATATTTTTGTCTCTGTTATCATACATATAATATTTAGGAAGAAAATTTTGGCAGAGGCAAAGATGCAACTGAGAATGTACGTCCTATATACATAGAAAATGCAAAAATGGAATAAGGCTTATGGTTACTTCTCACCCAAGCTGTTTCGTATCCAGGAGAACTTAGTCAAATACACATTATTGTCACACTTACCTCTCTCTCTCTCTCTCTCTCTCTCTCTCTCTCTCTCTCTCTCTCTCTCTCTCTCTCTCTCTCTCTCTCTCTCTCTCTCTCTCTCTCTCTCTCCCAATACGAACGTATCTTTTGTCTAATAAACTGTTCTTGAGATAAAAATTACATGAGTAAAGCATACCCGGGCCAAAAAAATTGTACAAGCACTGATGTATGTATGTATGTATGTATGTATGTATGTATGTATGTATGTATGTATGTATGTATGTATGTATGTATGTATGTATGTATGTATGTATGTATGTATGTATGTATGTGAATAATAATTATAATTGAATAAATCCTTTCTTTTGCAGTCGTTCAAATCGATAAACGTTTACATTTTTCTTGGTTTCTTCAGTAATGATTAATATATCTGAAACAAACGGTGTTGAAAACTTAGTTTGTCGACTCCAATGACCAATACTTGTGCTAATTTTAAATTTTGTCGGCTGTTACTCCTTGGTACTCACACTGTATACCGCTGTAGTATACTATCCGGACCGCAAAGCCATTTTTCTGAAGACTGCCGCAAAAAACATATTTGAGCAAAAGTTTGGGACAATTTCACCGATCACATGAATACTCTTGCACAGAGAGAGAGAGAGAGAGAGAGAGAGAGAGAGAGAGAGAGAGAGAGAGAGAGAGAGAGAGAGAGGTATCTTGGCACTGCATTTTACATACATCTACTTCTGTATTCTAAAATTATATATTTAATGTTTTATTTAACTTAAAACACTATACATATTTGGATTCTGCCAAGAATAAAACGTCTAAAATGCGCCTCATGCCCATGTGACAAGGCAATGATTATATATATATATATATATATATATATATATATATATATATATATATATATATATATATATATATATATATATATATATATATATATATGCAATAAATGACGACGAACAGTACGAAACTAGTAACTAACTAGCCTAAGCGCTTTCGACTCTTAATTAGTCTTTTTCAAAGGCAAATACAAAACATATATACGACAAACAAATAAACACAAAAACGTTGTGTTTGTAAACCTCTACATGGCTGTCTTCACATGTGCTAAAACTATAAATACAACCAGCTTGTATACACTAGTTGCGGAAACTGAAAACGTTATATAATTCCCTAAAAGTCTACAAGCCAAAGCGACATCTATTTTTACTTTTTGTACATATATAACGCAGATTATATTCCGTATATTTGATTCTATACCGGTTATTCTTATAGTAAAAATTGAAGGATAATAAGAAGATTAAGAAAATGTTAAATTCTACTAGTGCATAAATTTCATTTTCTAGTCTTCTTGGTTTAGACCGCTTGGTTTCAAAGTTCTAAGGCGACGTATCCATTATGATTCCTTTTCTTTCCTGGTTTCGGAACTCCAGCTGTGGTTGTTAGCAATAGCGATAAGTATTATATCACTGAAAGTGTGGCCAGGGGAGGAGAAGTGTTCTGCGACCGGGCTTCTGTACAGCTTTTTTTTGTCATCCAATCAGATCTATGAAGGTTTATCCTTTTGTGTAGCTTCCCAGTTTCTCCGACGTACTGAAGGCCACAGATCTTACATGTGATGAGTTAAATCACATTCTCTGTTTTGCACGTTTTGTTTGGACCATGTGTGTTTAGCTTTTCTTTAGTCACTGTACTAGTGAATGTCTTGGTCTCTGTCATATGTTGACAGGTGTTGCATCTTTTATCGCCACAGGGTCCAGATTGACTAGGTTGGTTTTGACTAGCGATTGGCGTTAGCTTTACCATGACTAGGATATCCTTTAGGTTTTTTGGTCTCCGGTAAGCTACTACAGGTTTGTTCGGAAGTATTATGTTTAGTATGTCCGACGATTGCACTGTTGGCCAGTGGTTTGCGATGATTTTACCTACTTTGGGATTGTCTGGGTGATAGGTCAGAATAAATGGTATCCTATTAACCTTTTCTTTCTGTCCATATCTGAGTAGGTCATCACGGTTTGTTCGTTTGGCCCTTTGGATTGCCTCCGCAATCAGGTCTTTGTCTTAGGTCTTAGCGAAGCATGGGAAACAAGAACTGTAAACAATCCACCCACACACTTCTTAGTCCAACTCCTGGAGCTTGTCCTAAAACTCAACAACTTTGAATTTAATGAAGAAAACTACATACAAATCAATGGAACTGCAATGGGTACTAAAATGGCCCCTTCGTATGCTAACATTTTCATGGGAAAACTTGAGGGTCAGCTCTTAGCATCGGTTGAGCGTACACCATACCAGTGGGTACGCTTTATCGATGATATAGAAATGAAGTGGCAGTATGTAAGAGAAAGTCTGGATGACTTCATATCAAAGGCAAACAACTTCCATCCTTCAATAAAATTCACGGCAGAAATTTCCAATTCAAACCATGTTTTCCTGGACACAACAACCAGACTGGTGGAAAACAAATTACACACAGACATCTACTCGAAACCAACCGACAAACACCAGTATCTCCTCCCAACCAGCTGTCATCCAAAACACTGCATTAAGAACATTCCATATAGCCAGGCACTGAGGATACGCAGAATTTGCTCCGACGATGAAAGATTCCTAGAAAGGTCTGAAGAGCTGGCTAAACATTTAATTTACCGAGGTTACGACAAAGACCTGATTGCGGAGGCAATCCAAAGGGCCAAACAAACAAACCGCGATGACCTACTCAGATATGGACAGAAAGAAAAGGTTGATAGGATACCATTTATTCTGACCTATCACCCAGACAATCCCAAAGTAGGTAAAATCATCGCAAACCACTGACCAACAGTGCAATCGTCAGACATACTAAACATAATACTTCCGAACAAACCTGTAGTAGCTTACCGGAGACCAAAAAACCTAAAGGACATCCTAGTCAGGGCAAAGCTAACGCCAATCGCTAGTCAAAACCAACCTAGTCAATCTGGACCCTGTGGCGATAAAAGATGCAAAACCTGTCAACATATGATAGAGACCAAGACATTCACTAGCACAGTGACTAAAGAAAAACTAAACATACATGGTCCAAACAAAACGTGCAAAACAGAGAATGTGATTTATCTCATCACATGTAAGATCTGTGGCCTTTAGTACGTCGGAGAAACTGAAAAGCTACACAAAAGGATAAACCTTCATAGATCTGATTGGATGACAAAAAATGCTGTACAGAAGCCCGGTCGCAGAACACTTCTCCCCTGGCCACACTTTCAGTGATATAATACTTATCGCTATTTCTAACAACCACAGCTGGAGTTCCGAAACCAGGAAGGAAAAGGAATCATAATGGATACGTCGCCTTAGAACATTGAAACCAAGCGGTCTAAACCAAGAAGACTAGAAAATGAAATTTATGCACTAGTAGAATTTAACATTTTCTTAATCTTCTTATTATCCTTCAATTTTTACTATAAGAATAACCGGTATAGAATCAAATATCCGGGATATAAGCTGCGTTATATATGTACAAAAAGTAAAAATAGATGTCGCCTTGGCTTGTAGACTTTTAGGGAATTATACAACGTTTTCAGTTTCCGCAACTAGTGTATACAAGCTGGTTGTATTTATAGTTTTAGCACATGTGAAGACAGCCATGTAGAGGTTTACAAACACAACGTTTTTGTGTTTATTTGTTTGTCGTATGTATGTTTTGTATTTGCCTTTGAAAAAGATTAAGAGTCGA